CCTTAAGTGGCGACTTGACGGAATGTGAGATTTTGGATAGCGAAATTAAAGCTTGCTCACTTTAATTGTCCATCAAATCATGACTTAGTTTAAGGATTTGACCAAACAATCTACTTTAAAGAGAAGGTGGGCCTCTCTTCACACAGTGCAAATAATTTATTTTCTTAGTAATTAAGAACTTCCCTTCTTGGTTTGAAAAGAATGAAACACCATTATATAATACTACTATATACTAATAGTATAAATGTTTGAAAAATCATCGATTTAGAAATGGAATGACTTTTAATCTATGTTCTTTTCAAAATGTCTTAAATTATCAAAAAAACATACGAATTTTTTTCCATTAACTTTTTTCTTTCTTTATATTTTTGTATTATTTTATTTTGCTAGTTCACGAATTTGCTCATTCTAGGTGGCAGATCCAGATCAGAATCAATGGATAGACGATCCACCCCATCAATTTCTTAAAGCACTGAGTAATTGTAAGGACCAATAAAATTGAAAATTTGAGGTCAATAGAAAATGAGAATGCACTAAAAAAAAAGCAAGGAAAAAATATTTGAGAAAAAGGGAAAATATTAAAAAGTTGGTGAGAACCACATTGTGTGTGTAGGAAATTCATGCGTTTACTGCATGGGTTAACATTGTACAAGTCCGGCACCCCCTATATTTGCTATTAGGCCGATCAACTTTTGTCTTTTGATCGAAAAGTTTTTCTTTAGGAATTAAACAGAGTCATGGGCATGCCTCTGACCTTTTGATTTCACATCCAATGGTTGAGGCCAATTGTGACCTCTTAGTACCAAAGTTAAATGATCTTATGATATACATTTCCATTTATGTGTGTGGGTATATATAAATAGGAGGATCTTCACACTAACAACCATTATTTCCCAATATTGGAAAAAGCTATTATTTCTCATTCTCTTTTTGCTTGATATCTCATAGCACATGTTGTGGGTGTTACAGCATTATGTTATGGTCATGAATTAACTAAAGCCGCAGTGTTGATCTATTTAATCCACTATTATCATTAATTTCATGACAACTAAGAACCCAATAATTAATAATTAAAAACTCGGAAAAAAAAAAAAAAAAGAGGGGCTTTGTTTTAGTATAACTGCGGTTCACCTGAGAGGTCACAACCGCACCACAAAACTCCACCTTTTTTATGGATTGATATCAAAAACACTTTTGAACACCTGCAAATCCATTTCCATTACCAAAATATGGATTTGAATCTCCTAAAACGCTCCAAATTCTAGTGATCTAGAGTCCAATGAAATAGCCAAATAGGCAATTCAAATGAAAACTTAAAAGTTAAGATCACAATCAAGATGGGGCATTTTCATGGCTCAGAATTTTCTTCTTAAAATTGTTCTGAGACGATAAGAGGATGGATTTGCAGCATTCTGGGTCCTCAATCACCCATAATCATGGAGAAATGAGGCGCAGTTGTTGCCGTAAAGGATACAACCATGTTGCATTAAAACATTTAGGTTCAGTATTTATCAAGTTGCTTCTTACTGCCGCTACTAAAAACGATGAAGTGGCAACAGAAAAGTTTACTTGTTGATCCATATTTCCTCTAGGGAAAGGAGCAATGTTATTTCATTTATCTATGTCCCTTCAATATATTTTGGATGAGTGAGTTTGAAAAATAGTAACATTTTTCAAGGAAAATAGAATTGGAAGGCATAATCAAGGAATAATTGAGAAATTCTTACCCTCCTTAACCAGTGCACAAGTGATCATAATCTTCTACCATAAATTTTACGAGTTATTTCAACCATTAGAATTCTTAGCTTGGGAAAAAACCATTAGTGCATTTCAGTGTCCATTAATGAATCTAACCCTAAAAGATAAATCCTTGTAAATTAAACATAAGAAGATGAAACCTTCAAAAGAGACAAGCACCCTAATAAAATAATTAGAACCTTGACTTAATCATCCTTAATAAACCAATATGAAATCAAAACAAGCTAATATAGAGCTTCTACCAAAGGCTTGTAAACTTACTCATTTTCGGTAATTGTCATTTATCATCTTAGCCTAAAGATTAGGGAATAAAATGAGATTTCTCTTTCATCTCCCTATGTTTTTTTTATTCATCTTTGCGTGAGTTTTTTTTTGTTTTTTTTTTTTTTTTTTTTTTTTTTTTTTTGAGTTGGTCAGCAATACTGTTCGAATTTGAAATGACATGTTATCGCTTTAGCGCTGCACCCAAGACCAAGCCTGAATCTCAACAGCTCAGTACATATACTCCATGTGATCGAAGCAACTAGTTAGGTAAGGAAGTGGCGACTGAAATGCATTACAAAATCACCCACTATAGAAACATCCTAATTTGG